CTCTGGGGTCGTATTCTTTTAACTACAGATAATCGCACTTTCAGTCCGAATAGACAAACGGACGGACAGAGAATGTCAGCAACATCATGGACAAGATGCCATAGTCCTTCATCACCAAGCCGAGTCGTATCTCGCAGGGAAGGCCAGCATCTGCAGGAGTGCTGCACCGCCTCCGATTCTGATCTATTTTGCCGCAGGCGGGGACATGGCTGCTCCAAGTCTGTCCTTCCGAGCTCTCCTTGCACAATCTGCACTGGGGGGTACGGCCATGCTGAAGCATTTTGCAGCTGCCTGTGCTGCCTCGAGCCCGGGATTTGGTGGCAATGCTGTTGTGCACTCTGTCAGGATCGTGCACAGTTATACTCAAGAATGCGCCAATCCAATAACTACGCTTGTTTCAAGACTGTTCGGCCAAAACTTGTAAGCCGCCTGGAAAGTTCCGAGGAACATCGCCTGAGCGGGCACAGCGAACAATAAGGTTTGGCACATAGCAGACTTCCTGGCACAGGGAACCTAGACATTCAAGGGGGTGTCCGCTGAGCACCACGCTCCAAAACTGAGGATCTCTGGCTCAAGCATCTGGCTTTGCAAAAACTCCGCCTGCTCGGGCTGCAATCGCATGTGTGGCAAGCAAAACAAAATCTCACACAGATTCAGCATGCGAAAGCGAAATTGCAGGACATTGCACAGTCAGGCCGCAGCAGTAGGTTCGTGCAAGCCCCTCGCCTTGAGCATCTCAGGCGGTAGGGACTGCGAGGCACTCGGAGGCTCGTCGTCCCTGACTGGACACTCTTCAGTGCTCGTGAGCATCCAACGCGAACCCATAAGACCAGAACCTTGTCCACACACCCAAGCAGCAGGCAAAAGAATGGAACGACGGCCACTGAACTATGTGCACGAAGGAACGACAGGTCTGGGACAAACAGGCCGCGGGCACGGCTCTTCCTCGACCTTCACGGGCGCGTTCGTCTGTGGAGGCACTCGCCTCGAATGATTCTGCAGCTACAAAACCCATACGGCCCGCTGTGCCCTGACTTAAAGGCCAATGAAAACACCCATTCATTGTAGATCTTTGCAGTCAAGATGAATGAGCAAGAGGAAGCGTGCGCAACCTTCTCCGAAACCCACCACCCTTTCAGCCTGCCGCTTTGGCTCCGCGATCTTGGGGTGCGCCGCCTCCATGTTACCCTCGATCAGCATTGGCGAGTGGACACACACAGGCCTGTTCGTGGGGGACGATGTCTGGGATGGTGCCTGCCATGGAGCCCAGACATGTTCCAGCGGTTCATCGCTTGGGGCAATAATGATGACATTGCCCAGAATGTACATACATGTGCTTTCCCACCTTCCCCGCCTCCCCCCTGTGGTCCCTGGATATGGTCACTCTCCCATCCCCCCTGTGTCGGAGTTTCGTTCCCCTCCCCTGTTGTGGAATGGTTGGGGCGGGTTTAGGCTGCAGGGTTGAGGCTTCAGGGTTCCGGTGGCTTGAGGCAGCAGCCGGGAGGGGCACCATGCGAGGCACATACATACATACATACATATACACATACATAAACACATACATGCATTCATACATTCATACGTACATACATATGTGAGATAGATAGACAGACAGACAGATAGATAGATAGATAGATAGATAGAGATTGATAGATAGAGATAGATAGAGATAGATTGATTGATTGATAGATAGAAATAGATAGAGATAGATGAAGATAGATAGCTTAATTGATAGATAGATTCATAGATAAATAGATAGATAGACAGACAGATAGAGAGAGAGAGAGGGAGAGAGAGAGAGATAGAGATAGAGATAGAGATAGAGATAGAGAGAGAGAGAGACAGAGACAGAGACAGAGACAGAGACAGAGACAGAGACGGAGACGGAGACGGAGACGGAGACGGAGACGGAGACGGAGACGGAGACGGAGACGGAGACGAAGACGGAGACGGAGACGGAGATGGAGACGGAGACGGAGACGGAGACGGAGAGGGAGAGGG